AACCAAATATTATCTGTCGAACGAATCTGATCTATCCAGAAGGGATGGAATATCGTTCATCTGGATAATTGAACAATTATTGGTGGAATAGCCGTGGTAATATTGATTAAGTAATGATGTATATTTATATTTATGATGAATATTAGAACCAAAATCACTTATTTTGGATTTAAACTGGGCAGGATACGTATCTAAACTACCTGGACAGTTATTTTTCAGTCCAAACTCAGTTTAGATCCTACAGTGATATTTATACTGTTAGTCACGGACAAGATTATTTCACTACCTACTGATGTGGATGGATAATATTATTTACTTCAGTCAAACTGATCAGCGTTAGTGTAAGAGTGAACTTTTTCATAAAGCAAGGTTTACTCGTGTTGCAAGTAATTCTAAGACAATTTCAGATGACAAGTTACCATCAATGTAGCGAACAGACGATAGTCGTGATAATTTCCGAAGACTGATTGCAGCAGTCTATTCCAGATGGTTGAAAACTGAATTGTAGAGTAATTCATACAGAGAGAGAGAGAGAGATGAACGATAGTGAAACATTATCACTTTCAATGTGGAGTATCACGTGCTGTAACTAGGCAGTCGTTCATGTTGAATTGTCTTCGTGACTGGGAAACATAGTCCGCAAATTATTTTGAAGATAATCAATAAATTAAGTTTACATCTCCATTTCTAAAAAGAGGTGAGTTGAAGCTTGCCGTGTTTATGTCTTTGTTTGACGTTCAAGCATTGGCGAGAATGTGAAGTGTAACTTGTTGAATCCCAATCCAAGTTATTTCTTTCTGCAAACACTACTCAGAATGAAAATACAGTATTTCGTGATTCGTCAGACACACAATTTCTGCGACGAAGTACGTGAATAGTTGTTTCTGAAGCTACATTGTATGCACTACGTAAGTTAGTATGACTTTGACGTTTATGATGAGAGATGTGATCTGAAAAAGACACATTGTTGCGGTATCCACCTTAAATCGATCGAGTTAATAAATGATATTAAGTTGTAGATTAGTGATGCATTTTTCATTGAGTCAATAGTTGACAATCTCTTTGTCAACAATGCTGTCCATTGTCACGATTTCATTTGGACTGTTATTAGTAGACTGAAAGTTGGCATTTCATTCAAATTTATATCATGTTGTTCAATATTCTATTTCCAAGCAGCCTGTATACGTACAGAGCTAGTGTGTGTTAATAGTAACAGATGAAGTATTGAAATGTCAGGTTTGTCATATTTGAAGTTGGTGGACGGCAAACTTTCTGGTTTGCGATTAATTTACGTTCTTGAACAGGTGTCGCATAGATATACACAACAGGAGCGTGTATATAATCAGTATCAATAAAATAGTTAACAAGGAAAGAAGTCTCAACGGTTCTGCATAGACAACTCAGGAGTTAGCCAATTCAAACCATATAATAGACAGTCACTTACATGTTTATCTCCTCAATCATAGTGACAGAGCAGATAGTTTTCAAAATAGAAATCTTAATCAGTAACTGAGGCAAAGCACGAGGATTCAGTATCAAGTAGGAAAAATGGCTTCACGTATAGAATAATGATTGCAAAGATTGAGATTTTTTCTGGGAAATAAGGCTGAGCAGAAGTCTGAAAAACACGATAACCAGTTTGCGGTTTATGTTTCTGTAGTAAAATATACATGAACCTGTTTAGATCCGACCATGTGAGTTGCACACTGTGTAACATAATTTTTGCTGGAAATGCTATTTATCAGAATATGTATGGGAGTGATTAAATTCGGTAAATGTACCAGCGACGAATCAGGATTTTGTGCCATCTCTCAGATTTTAGGGCTTCCTTAGACAACAAGAGATAAACGTGTGATAAAAACTTAATTCATTGTTGATGAGAAACTTGTAGACAATTCGGATTCGGAAAGTATATTGTCCAGTTGCCTGTTTGCACTGCCAATTAGAAAATTATCGGTTACATGGGTGGCTGCAACTACACTTAGACTATTTTTGTTGTGTACACTTTGAAATTCGTACCAAAACCAATCAATCTAGATCAGAGGATGGCTTATCGATACAACTTATTTCAGTAGTTCAAAAACCGTAATCAGTTGATAATTTTTATGCAGAAAGGGAAAAAAAGCAATACAAAATAGCCTATGCCCGTGGCAATAAATTAATACATTTCAGTCAAATGTAAACAGAATATACCTGAAAATAAACTTGACTTGAAATTTCAAAAAAACAGTGAATAGATCATTGTGAAACCATTCAGTCAAAGACATTCATTGCACTTTTGTAATCGATCAACCTTAATTAAAAATTTTTCCACAGAATAACTTTATTACTTGATAGTATGTCACCATTATGTGCCAGAACAAAAACTAGCCTGCTACAATCCATACAGAAACTAGTTCGTCGAACAGGATATTTCTCTGAGATTGTCTATTGAGGAAAGGTCAGCTAGGGAATTTCACTAACATCCTAAAGGCTCTGTATACAAGCACCTTAAGCAGATTGAGAATATACAATCCTCTCTATCCATTGCTTCATTCGAACAGTGGGGTTTAAGTACGTTGTCCAGTGTAGCTCTGTTGAAGAGAGAAATATTTCTCAACCTTCAGTATGCGGATGATATTATCTTAATGTGAGATTCAAAAACAATCTGAATCTCGGCACGGATACAGAAGGATCGATTGGCTTTTGCCAACCTGCGTCACTTATGGCGTAGGCGAGATATCCGTTTGCTGACTAAAGGACGAGTGTACTGCGCAGTGGTTCGCTCCGTCTTACTTTATGGCTGTGAAACATGGCCAATGAGAGTAGAAGATACTCGTCAGTTATTGGTTTTCGATCATAGGTGTCTTCGAAGCATTGCTCGTATATCGTGGGACACCCGAGTGAAATGTTTCAAAAGTCAGTCAGTCAGTCAGATGCAACGTAGAACTTCGTACGTAAGTACATCAGTCCAAGTTGCTATACCACATTAACACACAGAGATGTAATTGTCAATTCAAATTTCATACCAGACCAAAACATGGCAGAAATCCATGAAGTCACTGACAAGTGAACTGAGTCATGTCAGTAGTTGTCGACTACCTGGTTGGGGTCCGCGAGATCATAATAATCGATGGTTAGAGACCTTGAATAACATGGCTCAAAACCGTTCGCAATGGCGCCGGTGCATTTATTCTTTGTGTTCTCTCAAATCCTAATCTTCTGGATTCTTCAACCCCTCTAGTTTTGTCTTTCTAAACTTATCTCACTGAATCATACTTCTTGAATAATATCTTCTAATCCTAACCTCTCCGATTACTCCTAATACCTTTACTACCTCTTCTACTATTGGATTTGAATTGACAATTACATCTCTGTGCTGATGTGGTATGGCGACATGAACTGATGTACTTACGTACGAAGTTCTACGTTGCAACTGACTGACAGACTGACACAAACAATGCATTCCGCACTTGATCAGTTGGCAGTGTCCATGGGTATGTCGCATGCATTAACCCTTCCAAGTGCAAACAGCTTTTACAAGACCGACAGGAACTTGATAGTACTGTTGATTAACTTGGTGAGTAATAAACAATGAAAGCGTTACAGGTAAAGGCTAATTTTCGCTGTAGAATTTAGTAAATAACTTAGCTTCTGTTTTGACAGAGAATAAGAGAAACGACAGTTTTCTTCTTGATTATCAACACTAAATATGATATTTTCCAGGTAAAAACCATGCATTCATTCGTGTTCAACATTGTTAAAGCCTGACAATTTTCAGTATAGTGCATTGTAAATAGCAAAGTCAATATCAATTGAATTCTAGGAAAATCTAAGGCTAGTTGAGGATTAATTGTTGTATTCTCACTAATGTGACGACAGTAAGATTGTACCAAAATTTACGACTAAACGCTGCTGTCATGATCTCATGTTGACATATAGAGATAACGATACTGAAAAACGTTGACCATGTCAACATTATACAGAGTTTGAAAACACTCATGTTCTTAACAACTTTCTAATCGAGAATATCCAAAACCTAGGTCTAACCAGACGTCAAGAATGAAGATCAGAGATATATTTGAAGGATGGTTGGGATGTCGACTTGCTAGTTGATGAGAGGAATGCGTATTTTATCAACAGATTACTATGCAATGTTACGGTGGTAATCCTGATAAAACCAGTCTTATGTCGATGAATTATTCCATTCGGATTCTATTTGAAGAATGTACAACTAGGGAATCACAATGTACCAGTCTAAATATAGACCACGATTATATAATCAGTAAGTGAAGAGCAGATAATTTAACTGATGAAACACTGGTATTCAATATTTGTTTGTGAAAAACTGATGCACACAATACATATTGATCGCACGTAACATATTTCATAAATGAGAATATTAACTTCGAATATTTAGTGCAAGATATTTTTCCATTCGCTCCATTAGAGACTACAAAATCCATGAACAACATGAAAACAATGTACACGAACTGAATCCGATGTATAAGACATTTACAGTGTTTTTGAAAGAAACCCCGGGTTAGGTGATTTCATCAGCCTATTTATTATTTTTAAATAGTAGTTGTGGGCATATTCTGTGTTGTTGAGTGCTCAGTTCTCTTAGTTCGATGCTTTAAGTCAACAGACTTTCACGGTCTTTCTCAATAACATCATCATCAGTACATACTTCAAAATTCCGGATGAAGTAGCATGAAAGCTTGTGTTTGCTGACTTGAAATTGGGTTCTTTTTATTGTCTTGACAGACCGATAATGAAAGCTTCACAAGTGAAACCACACAACTTAAGCAAAATAACCCCGGCAAAATCCGCTTCATCTGTTTTCAATGTCTACTGTGTGATGCTTCGTTAATATTTCCCTTCCTCATTAGTACTTTTCAATTCCTAATATTATGACTAAACCATCATCAACATTTTCGTCATTGATAGAATCACATTACATAAAAGTCATGTAGTTCACGAAAAGTAGGAAAATAGCAGTGAATCAAAACACACAAAAATTAATACTCCAAATATAATATGATTTTTAACTCATTTGAAAATAGGTTTATTTACATAGAATAGATTTAATTGTTTATAATTATGTTTTTCTTTATTTCTATTTCTTTTTCATCTTCATCGTTTGAGGTACACGAAGCTGAAACAATGAGGAATAAACAGTGGCACATTAAGAGAAAATTATAATCAGAAATACAAAAACCATTAAACTCTAACAGATTGAATTACTTGACATCATAGAATTGTGAAGATTGTTGAGTTTCATTGAAATCTTGATTCGAATAATGCTGGACATCCCCATCAAGAAACTTGCTTGAACTAGACGGCTGTTTAGTCCTAGTCTGCCACTCATTGGCATTGAGCATATACGACCTTCGGTTTCGCGTGGAAACGCTTCATCGCTAAACAATTAAGCCGGCAGCATCCAACGCTGTCAATGTCTGACCTTAATCATTCCTTTATATTGTGCGATCTCACCATTTGTCTTCAGTAGTTTCTACCTCACATCCAACACGGCTGAACTTCACTGGTCACAGCCTAACTGAATGAATATCATATCATCTCCGATGTGGCCAGATTTACATGCACACGGCACAATCCATGCAAATGATCAATTCCGAACAGGAAGAAACTAGCCTTCTGAATTCCACTATTAGACAGTTACAAGTCCATCTTATTACTACACGGCGCACATGCATACACACACACATAGTACAGTCTATGTGTGCCGAAAAATGACATTTGTTTAAAATAACAATGTGATTGATTGATTGATTGGTTAAAACAATTGTAAATATCAATAAAATCGAATAAATATCAACACAGGCTAGTCTATCAACATTCATAATACAAGTAGACTTGAAGATGAAATTTATTAAAATACGAAATGAAAGCTATCAATCAAGTTACAGCGTTACACTTCATTGACAACTAACTGAGATCATGAGAGTTCCCCCCCCCCTCTTTCGAAAGCCAATCACTGAAATCATAGACCATAGCAAGTATTATAACTTAAGTTAATTAGGTTTTCTTTCATGGGTCTTAAAAAGAAAGCAAATCCAATATGATGAAGCGCGATCTATTACATTGATGTGCTTCAACGTAATATGCAATAATTGACTGTTGTCGGAATGAGATGCAATGGTATTAGATGAACAGATTTTTTTTCGGTTCAGAAACTAGCAAGAGAGTTAGTAGTAGTAGTAGTAGTAGTAGTAGCATAAATGCATACCTTATTTCTAAATCACTGGAGTTGACTTCTATAAACTATGATTCAATATCAATTAATAAATAAATAAGTAATACATTAGAAAGCAAAAAAAAACTCAACGCATTCAACATACCCATTGCGAGCTGGACATTTTACCAGAATGTTTGGTTGAGTTGTTTTTATTGTTACTGTTGTTAGGATTTGCGTTGAAATTACGCTTAGCATTGCTCAATGGCTTGAATGATTTTTTAGCGTTACGCTTAGCTTGTATAACTGCCATTAACTGTTTATCGACTTCTTCATCAGACTGATTATCACTGTCATCGGATGAGCCTTGTTCTTCATCATCTGAAGATGATGGTAAGTTCAATGGACTGTGATTATTTTTTACACCTAAAGGTTTACTATCAACGATCTTGGTTTGTTTTGAAGCTTTTTTGTTGATTACATTTTCATTGGCAACTTCATCACTGTCTTCATTTGTATCACCTAGATCTTCTTCATCTATGTCATCTTCATCATCATCGTCATCATCATCATCATCCTCACTATCATCATCATCGTCGTCGTCGTCGTCCTCCTCCTCACCACCGCTGTCATCCTCATCGTACTCACTAATTTCATCTTCATCTTCATCATCATCATCATCAACGTCGTCGTCGTCTTCTTCTTCTTCACCGTCATCATCTTCATCCAGTTCGCCTGCTCCAGAAACTTTCAATGTTTTTGACGAGACAAGATCATTCAAAACAGATGTTTTATCGGTGATTGGATTTTTAGTTTTCATTTGGTTTACAAGTAATTCATCTGCTTCGCTATCATCATCATCATCATCATTTGATTCGCTTGCTGACGATTCCGATTTCTCGTCAGTTTCAGGTGGGAGTTGTTCAACTAAAACTTTTGTCTTGCCTAATACATGAGTCTTATTACTTTTATCATTATTATTATCATTACTGGTGGTGCTTTTTGTTGTATCACCGATTGTTGTTTTATGAACTACAATGTTAGATGTCTTTTCCGTGGATGATAGTTTATTCGACATTTTCTGTTCAATTGTTTTTGATGTTTTATTATTATTATTATCACTAGTGTTGTTGACTTTTAATTGATTTTTACTAGTCTGTTTATCATCGATCTTTTTAGATTGAGATGATAATTTTAGAATAAAATTGACAAATATCGGTAGGCCACGAACCAGACGTTTATGTGTTGTAGAAAATGCTTCAATTGATACATTTTCATTGACAAATTTTACAATGGCATAACTTGAAAACAAAATAGGAAAATAGCAAACAATAAATGACCAACTGAAATCAAAGATCACTTAATCAAATCTCAATGCAAAAAAATTCATTCAGTGTGTTTAGTTAAATGAATTGGAAGATTAACAAAAGAAAATAAATGGTTGATTGGCAGAAAACAAAGAATAACTAACATGAAAATGAACAATGTACTTTTCCACTTGTGTATACAAGCTTTGAATGAGACTGTCATACGACAGCCGACAGCACAACAGTTAGTCAGTAAATCAGCAACGTAATAATAAGTAGTATAATACTTTATTTGTCTAACGGTTGATACGTGACATATTATTTGATATACTAACGTCAACTTATTTACACACACAATTATTAGCGGGGAGTAACATCAATATATTCATGCGCAACATAAATTATTGAATTTGTGCATAGGCTAAGGTTCTTACTGCCCAGGTTCCCAAAGTAAATCAGTCGGTTTTATGGGACGATATTCTTTGAGTCGTTGATTTAGTGGTTTAGTCCACACCACGGCAGGGGAGCAACTTTTAAAGAAGTAGTTCCATATTAGACAGTGATCAATATTATATGTATACACCAGTGAAATAACTTTAGAAACAGAACGATACAGATGACGAGGAATTCTGAAAGTTAGACAAAAAAAGACAAATGCTTGAGACTGGGCACTTACCATCTTTTTATCAGAAGTTGGTGAAGTGCTAAAAGGCCTTACCGCCGAGGACGGAAATCCGTGAGGTAGGGTGAGGTGTGACATTTTTAGGGTCGACCTTTTCTAACCCTTCCTTCCTTGTGAGAAAGCAGCATCGCTGCAGATGCTGGATTCCGAGGGGAACACCTTACTGCCTCTAAACAACTCTGTAGTCAGTAGTACTTCTCCCTCAGACCTTGAGTAACTGTTTTTAGTTTCGTCGCTCTCCAATCAACCTGCCTGGCATGGTAGAGCCTTCAGGAACATATGTTCCAGCCAATATAGCTCGGTTGGGTCATCACGATAGGCAAGCTCGATCACTACGACAACGTAGCAGCTGTGGTCGGGTTATATGTCATTTATTTCCTTAGGACCCCGGAGGCCATGTACAATACTGGTTTCGAATGAGTGCTTTCCAACTCCCCAAGGTGGGTCCTCCGTACCTAATAATCCGTTGAAAACTCAGTCTTCTCACCTTCTTACAACACACCACTACTGTGCGAGAAGGCAGTGAGTAGGACTTTCCTGGGAGTGGCTGTTAGTGGAACATAGATGGAATTAAAACATGATTGGCTAATTTCCTATCCAATCAGCGCCTGATCGATTCTTGGAGAACAGGGTAGAAAATTCTCGTGTTGTTAGCTGCACGCTGATTGGCTAAATCTAGTCCAGTCGATCACATGAATTACTATCCAGAAGCTTCTCATGTAAATACTATAAAGAAGCTAACGTTGTATCTATCTGGCCTTCGCCTTCGGCTTCTTATTTCCATTAACCTTGCTATTTGGAATATAATCTTTTCCTGTTCCACCGTGTTTTTGATTCTTTGGAACTTGTCCAGTGTATTGTGGTCACAGTATACTAAGCAATAGGAATTAGTCAGGAATTATCCAAGCAAGTGTTACAACAGTGGCTCCCGACCGAAGCTGCTACCTTGACGTGGTGGTCGGGCTTGCCTATCGTGATGACCCAACCGAGCTATACTGGCTGGAACACATGTTCCTGCAGGTCCTACCATGCCAGGCAGGTCGATTGGAGAACGATGAGACTAAAAGCAGCTACCCAAGGTCTGAGGGCGAAGTCGTACTGCTGACTGCAGAGGGGTGTGACAGCAGTAAGGTGTTTCCCTCGGACAACCAGCATCTGCAGCGATGCTGCCTTCTCACAAGGAAGGAAGGGTTAGAAAAGGTCGGCCCTAAAAATGTCACACCTCCCCTACCTCACGGATTTCCGTCTCCTTGGGTAAGGGTGCCCACTAAGGGCCTTTAAGAACGGAGCTAATCCTCTAAATACCTCTCATAAAAAGGCCGTGCGTGACCGGCCTCAAGCAGTTGTCCCTTGGGCTCTGCGGTCACGCACCAACACTAATCCATCTTCCTTTTCAGGTTCGTCAAGAAACAACCTTCCACGGTGTGGGCAGCCGGGAAGTGATAACCGCCCTCATACCCGCAACAGCACGCGAGACAAAATTGTTCAAAATCAAATCCTTCCTACATTACAGAAAGCTTTCGGACCTCCTCCAAAAAGCTAGGCGCTCTGATATAGTTATAATGGCTGGTGACTTCAACGCACAAGTAGGTAGACTAAGTGAAAATGAAAGACACCTAGGTGGATGTTACGGTCTCGCGGCTCAAAGAACAGACAATGGCGACCGTCTGTTGCAACTGTGCTCAGATAACCAACTATTTCTAGCAAACACTAATTTTAAGCATAAGGAAAAACACCTTTTGACCTGGCGACCCCCGAAGTCGTCTCAACGTTGGACCCAACTAGATCATATCGCCATCAGCCACCGATGGAGGGGTTCGATAGAGGACTGTCGATCGTTCTGGGGCACATGTTTAGATTCAGATCATGCCCTAGTGCGAGCACGTATTTGTTTGAGGCTTGCTGGACGTAGGAAAGACACCGTAAGAAAGCCTCTTAGGGCTTTACTTGATGATAATCAAGCTAAGAAAATATTTCAGGAGGAACTAGAAAAACAGTTGGGCGATCATGCAAGTGATTCCCATCCGGAGTCAGGTTGGAATGATATAAAGAAGGCTGTGGAAACAGCAGTGATATCTGCTAGCAAGGTAAACCATAAGGCTAGGATGAAGCAGTGGATTTCAGTCGCATCCACCGAACTGATGGATGCTCGAAAACGCATCCCACCTAACTCTGAACATGATGAAGAGCGTAGTCAGCTTAGGCGCAGACTTATAAAAAGCCTACGTAACGACCGTGAACAGTGGTGGGTGGCGAAAGCAAAAGCGATGGAAAAGGCAGCGGCAATAGGCAACACTAGACAACTTTTCCGCCTTATCAAAGAAACCGGTATTAGGAACCCGAATGTAAGTGAGACTATCTCGGAAAAGGATGGTCTTATTATCCATTCTCAATCTAGGAGGCTGGACCGATGGGCAGAACACTTTAGGGATCAGTTCAACTGGCCTTCAGCCACTCTTCGGTTGCCCACGATCTCCAGTTATCCTGAATGGCAAATCGATTTAAGTCCTCCCAGTTTACATGAAGTTGAGAAAGCTATAGGAAATCTAAGGAGAGGTAGAGCGGCAGGTCCCGATAGGCTTACCCCTGAGATGTTTAAGGATGGTGGTCCAGTTTTAACGGTTAAACTGACCGAAATCCTAGGTAGAATCTGGGAACTGGACGTAATCCCATCTGACTGGTCTCAGTCGCTAATTGTCCCAATCTACAAGAAAGGACAGAAGTCCTCTTGTGACAATCACAGGGGAATAAGTTTAACTAATATAGTTTCTAAATTGTTAGCCTCGATTATACTTAGACGTCTAACTAGAGCTCGCGAAGAGCAGACTCGAGAAAACCAATCTGGTTTTCGACCTGGACGTGGTTGTATAGACCACATCTTCACACTACGACAGGTCCTGGAACACAGACACACATTTAGACGTCCGACAATAGTCGTGTTCCTGGACCTTAAGGCGGCATTCGACTCAGTGGATCGTGAGGTTCTATGGCAGTGTCTGTCATTGAAAGGTGTACCAAAGAAGTACATTAACCTTATACAAGCACTCTACTCGAACACCACTGGTCGGGTGAGAGCATATGGCGAACTGTCATCTGAATTCTCTACATCAAGTGGTGTCCGTCAGGGCTGTCCACTCTCTCCATTCTTGTTCAACTTTGTCGTAGACGTCCTCTTAGAGTTAACATTAAGCTCGTCAGATTTTTCAGGGGTTGACCTTCTACCAGGAAAGTCGCTTACTGATCTAGAATATGCCGATGACATAGTTCTATTCGGTGAAGACGCTGACAAAATGCAGAGTCTTCTGACTACCATAAGCAACAATGCGAGCATGTTCGGGATGCGGTTTTCCCCCTCGAAATGCAAAATGTTGCTTCAAGACTGGGTTGCTTCGGCACCTGAACTAGTGATAGGGAGTGAAGTAGTCGAGCGTGTAGATCACTTCACTTATCTTGGGAGTCTCATCAGTGCTGACGGTCTGGTGACTGACGAAATCTCAGCTCGGATACAGAAAGCTCGATTGGCTTTTGCCAACCTGCGTCACTTATGGCGTAGGCGTGATATCCGTTCGCTAACCAAAGGGCGGGTGTACTGCGCAGCAGTTCGTTCCGTTCTCTTATATGGCTGTGAAACATGGCCGTTAAGAGTAGAAGATATTCGTAGGTTACTAGTATTCGATCATAGATGTTTAAGAAGCATTGCTCGTATATCGTGGGACAGCCGAGTAAGCAATGCTGTCGTTAGGAAACGAGTACTAGGTAAGGATGGCAGATCAGTCGATGAAGTGGTGAAACTTCATCAGTTGAGGTGGCTGGGACATGTGTTACGTATGCCTAACCACCGACTGCCTCGACGAGCTATGTTTTGTGGTGTAGGAGTAGGTTGGAAGAAAGCTAGGGGCGGCCAGACCAAAACATGGCAGAAATCCATGAAGTCATTGACAAGTGGACTGAGTCATGTTGGTAGATGTAGACTACCTGGTTGGGGTCCGCGAGACGAAAGTCATCAATGGTTAGAGACCTTGAACGACATGGCTCAAAATCGTTTGCAATGGCGCAGGTGCATCCACTCTTTGAGCTCTCTCAAATCCTAATCTTCTGGATTCGTCAGCACCTCTACCTTTGTCTTTCTAACCTTATCTCACTGAATTATATTTTTTGAATAATATCTTAAACCCTAGTCTTCTTTATTATAACATTAATACCTCTACCATCTTTATCACTATGGGATTTGATTTGACATTTGCGTCTCTGTGCTAATAATGTGGTATGGCAACATGAACTTATGTACATACGTACGAAGTTCTACGTTGCAACTGACTGACTGACTACAACAGTGGCTATATACGGATGGTCATATGAAAGCATTTAGAAGGGGCGAGAATGAACTCACTCCACACGTACATTCAACAACTTAAGAAAGACTTACTGATACTAGTACAGTTCAGACAAACTAATTTTAACTAGTTGAGTGACTAATACTTTTCGATAGAGTAGTGGTGTTGATGGTGATCAGTGTAAACATGAGTCGAGTAGTTAGTTTGGCATCCATTTTTATTGACTAACCTTGTAGTACCTTGTTCGTTATAACAGTTGGTTATCTAGTTAAGTTGACCGATAATTTCACCGTATCAATACTGATTTAAATAGTATAATATTGGTTGTTCGAAAATATAATAACATTGTAATGAGTACGAATATCGATAATCAATATAAATAACACAAGTTCAAAACCTATGGATGACTTCATAATTATTTGAATACCATTATTCTGTAATTATCTGGTCAATAATAGTTGAATCTACATGGACGACGCTAACACTTACAGCCTCTGGAAGAAGGCAAACACCAGATAAACTAGGGTATACGGTTCAACTGATCTGGAAATAAATGTTGTTAACTGATTAACAGTAAACTTGAGCATATAATGATAATTTTGTAAGGTTCATGTCACTGATTCGCATAATCTAGGGTTCATTTAAGGTGAAAGAAAGCAACGAGAAGATCAATGTGATTACATTATCATATGACGTACCCACATGAAGTTCCATCTTTAGTTAGTTTGAAATCAACAGTGCCTTTTGGAAATATACGCATTAAATCATTTTTGGTTGTGGAACTATTGAAACCAGTCACAAACAGTTCTTTACGATTAATATTATCAGACTTTATATCACTGATTGGAAATGATAGACGATTAGGTTGAGCAGAGATAGTTTTACCAGCAAATAAACGACCAGTTATAGCTTTTCTTGCAGTCTCAGCTGTATCCGCATCAATGTATTGAAGAAACACAAAGCTGAATAGACAGCATAAAAAAACAAGCATTGGTCAATAAAAATGAAACTGTAGTTTCATGATGATTATCAGTGTACAACATCTGAGGGGAACAAATAAAAATTCCAGGTAATTGGTTGTTGTCGACAAGAAACTATGCGGGCACTTTTCAACAAAGTAAACTTGTAATTTTAATGGAACTGATATTGCTTGTGGTTTGAACTTTGTTACTAACCTTCAAAAACACTTAATATCTTAAAACAGTGTATACGATATCTAGTTATTTAGATTATTGATCATACTGGGACCCTGATCATTAGAATTCGATCAAAACTAAAGCAATGTTCTTAAAAAAACATGACACTGACTACTTACTGAAACACTCACTGTTGAGATAACCTTATTAGTCGAAAAGTGCGATCTATAGATTAAGAATTTATTAGCGAATATCACCCCCCCCCCAACAGAGAAAAACACGGTAAGCAGTTTGGATCATGGGTGAATACTTAAGCAATTACTTGTTTCCTCTTCAGCATAAAGAATATTCGAGTTACCTTTAAAATAAATCAGTTTCTGCGATTTCATTTCTTCATGTTTATCAATTCTGTTCAACTTAGTAGAGAGAAATTGACAGGTTTTACTTAGGCTTTTTAACGAGATACAAGCTAATAACCGCTATCTGAAATCTGATTAGCTGATCAGTTAGTAAAGTATACTTTATCGACTTGTTTATAGGAACAATTATGATCAATATGAATTGAAGTGAATTGGACGAATCAAAGTGATAAGCTCAAACCGCTTGAGATAACCAGTATGGAACTGATAATTACAATAGAAAACTATGATTCATAATGTACCTGTAACCGATAATAGTTCATGAACACTTCAAAAGATTGAAAATCTGTCAATACCCTTTTCGCTTATGATGGTTATAATCGAGTCGGTGACAGAAACGATATCCATTCACCTTGAACAGGATCAAAAAGATTTGCATTCAGCATCAATTCTTTTGTAAAATAAGAGAGAAATTTGCATGAATGGCTTATAAAATTGACGATAAAGTCACCCTGATGAAGAAAGACTTGCAACTGTTCCCGGTTTTCAACGTTTGATGGCTATGGGTCTTCGGCAAATTTGATTTTTAAAAAACCGGATTCAACAATCTGTATCAGCTGATAAGAGACCATTACCTGACTAGTTAAGTGATCTATCATTCGGATCTGGTAACTCCAACAATACTCGCAATGCAGAACTCTACTTATCGAGACCAATACACATTCAGAAACATACAATTCAATGACAAGTGTGAACAATTAATACACATCAAATTTACAGCTGTAAAATCAATCAGCTTACTAAAATTCTAGAATGTTATCTTATTAATGAAAACATATACTCAAAGTATGATTTATTCTGGTGATAGCTACTAAAAAACAGATTCGTGTCAAACATATAAAGTCTCACAGTAAAAAAAAACTTACTTGCGTTGTTGTTTTTTCTTATTCTTAATAGACAATCGATATGACATCATTGTCGGTGATAATGATTTCAGCATAGACTCATTACAATTCGACGGTAATGGAGTCACATACAATGTAGCAGATGACAGTTCAGCTGGTGACAAAGAAAACAAAACAGCTCACATAGATAAGTGAACATGAACATACAGAATTCAATGAGTGGAGTGTTCTGTCATAAAAAAATACATTTCGTCATATTCCAACTACAGATACTTATCGTTGCAAAAATATGAACTTCATGGCTCTATGATTGATAAATAACTTTTCATAGTCTAAATCACAAAGTGATTTTAGTTAAACAACTAATGAAGATCAATATGCACTATACAGATACTCTGTCCAAGTATGGGACCCCTTAGCAGCACTCAACAATAACTCCTAAGGACACTAGATCCCGCACACCAAAGCCAAACCTCTAAGCAACTGGACCAGTGTGCAAAACCACATATTTTTGACAGTAATCAAGCGATTTTCCCTCTCGAAATGCAAAATAATGCTTCACGACTGGCTTGTGTTGACACTTGAACTAATGATAGGGAGTGACATAGTTGAGCGTGCAGACTGTCTCGCTTATCTTGGGAATCTCACCAGTTCTTGTATCCTGGTGTCTGACGAAATCTCAGCACGGATACAGAAGGCTCTACTGGTTTTTGCCAACTTTCGTCACATACAGCGTATGCGAGTTAACTACGCAGTAGTCTGAGTATGTTACATGTGTCCAACTACCACCTGCGTCGATGGGTGATGTTGTTTGTCATAGGAGTAGGCTGGAAGAAAGTTGAGGACGACTAAGCCAAAATAAGACACTAGTTCATTGAAGTCGATGACAATTGGACTGAACCAAGTTTATAGGTGCAGACTACCTGGTTAGTGTCCATGTGTATCGAGATTTGCAATGACATGGCTCAGAACTGTTGGAACTAGTGCAGATGCCTCTATTCTTCGTTTTTCCCCGAAATTCTAAGCTCCTCAATTCTTTAGAATCCTTTCTGATCTCACTGATTGGTATTTTATTGAATCTTTAATTCAATTCTATTTTTTTCTATTTTTGCCATTATTGCTGTTACTACCTGTTAGGATATTCACCAAATATCCTAAGAATACTATTTTTAGAACTGCAATCCTATTGGTCGAATTCTATTGGCCGAAATTATGATCGTTCTTACCGTCAGGGTCAAATACTTCAATGTTATCTCTTATTGGTCATCTGGACGCTCAATGTCATTCAAATGTTCTTTTCTATTGGTCGTCCTAAATTGTCAATGTCACGGACGTTGATGCTTTTTCTCATTCGACCTTAGTGTATAAATACGCGCTATCTGGAAGACTTAATAATTCCGTTTCCCCTGCCTACTTCTTCTGTTTACGACCCAATAAACATCTTCCTTCCACGGTGTTACGTTCTGATTTCTAGGAGATTTGGAAAAGCCTCTTGGGTCGTATTGTGATATTTGAATTGGACGCCGTTAGGACTGAAGAGTTACGTAGCCGCGTTTACAACACTACCACTGCTACTTTTCGATTCGGCATGACAATTTCATCTCTCTATGCTAACGAGGTATGGAAACTTGAACTGGTATACATACATACTAAGTTTTACGTTGTACCAAAATACCAGGCGAATATTGAGATTTACATGTTCGCAACTTACTGGCACGTCTTTTGATCTCCTCAAGTATGACAGATTCATTTGTCCAACTATAAGACACAGACACTTGATCATCGCATTTATCAGGAGTTTTCACGATTGACTGCTAAATGTAGAGAATGGTGAACAGAGAAAAAAAAATCGAAAACACCATACAATACAAAAGGACAAAGATTAACAAAAAAGCTGAGAAAATCGGATATGTCACAATTAGCACAGAACATGAATTTGTTTACAGTTATTAGTGAGTTTTGTAGGTGTCGATCCCGTTTGTGAAGTTATCTCAACAGTAGTTTGAAATACTACTCATCAATCTGAAGATTACATTGATAAAATATCGCTAACACTGCAATGTTGATAAATACGACACAAGATTACAAAGTGAAGAAATGTAACACTTATTAAGGTTATCATGAGTTTTATGCCATATCCAATAAATACAAAGAAACGTTTGACGTTAGGAAAATTTTGCAGCTTCATGATCATTATATCAATTGTTAAAAAATTGGTGTGTAATCAAATATTACTTCCTTCAATCTGTATTTAACTTTTTGCATAGATGAATCATAGTTCAGTAACTAAATGTCTAGGTACGACTGAGAGTGAGGAAAGTTCACCCTTTCACTTTAAATGCTTTTATATATGGCCAAAAATATATAGGTACTTTCGGACAAGTACTACTTATTGCCTTCTCGTGATTGAAATGTCATTTATTAGATTGGGAAGGAAAAGTGATTGTTTGGTGATTAAACCGGGCTGATGGGTATGAAGGATCCACCTAAAGAAGTTGTAAAACGCCTGTTCCAAATCAATGGTGTATATCGGCTACATCATCCTGAGGCAACACATGATGTGTGAACCTACTGCCGGTGACCAGTCACTATGTTACTGCATCTCCTGATATTGCCCCTTTTCCTTACAGATCGATTCAACGGCTCAGGGGGGTTCCCTACTTGCTTTGGTTTAGGGACTTGGGCAGTATCCCAGTCCACATACATATTCACTGGTTCGTTTGGTGCATATATGTCCTAATACAGAGTTGCACCAATGTTTGTGTGTGGAAAACGAACAAACATATTCATTCATAGTAAAATGTGGTTTATTGACGCATAGTGCTAAAAGATTAAGTATTTTATAAAAATCTGTGTGTAATTTTGATTACATGACAGACACGTGGATATAATGTTTATTGTATCCTTTTAAAGAGGGAGTTGAAAAAAACGATCGTTTCATTACCACAATCTAATAGTTTTTCATGGCTTATAATCCAAACACTATGTGACACAATATATGAGCTGAGTTACATTGAAATTTCTAGACACGTTATAATGACTTAATAAACGTAAGTTTTTTTCAGCACTGCTTTCTATGAAAACGACTGAAGAAATATTGATGACAGTATTTGACTTAAATATTCCGTTGAGACATGTGTTTCTGTAGGAATTAAGTAACTGAGAAAAACTGTTGGCCGAAAAATTTACCAAATAAGAGATTGAAGGATGGATAAGTGACGGGAATAATGAGTATCATTAGCAGGGGACTATACTAGATAAGTTCACACACACACAAACGGTTTCTATATAGTCAGTGTTTCGCATCAAAGATTCTGTCCAATTTATCTCAGTTTAAGTAGAATGCGTATTTATAACACAATTTGCTGAATAACCCTAGTGTAATGATTTGCAAAGTACTCTTCTGTCTTATTGATTAGACCAAAAAATTGTAGAAGAGAAGAACTACCTTCGACTCTCCAGCTAATTTCATTTTCTTTGTGGATGGAAGAGTGTTTTCAACAGATTCTGAAAGAAAAAAAGCATAACATTAATAATCTGATAAATAGTTAGATTGAATAAACGAGTAAAATAATGCGAAATATTATTGTTCACATATATACTGGTGTTTGAATAGTCTCATTAATATTTACGACTGCAATCGATCAGTCATCCTGTACGGATTGCCTTGATTATGTCATAGTCATTTTAAGCAGAGATCGCTAGCAATGGGATTACAAGACATGCATTTCGTCCGATTCGGGAACAGTAAGCTGCATGTACCTGTATCTTTACTTCAAGTGGTGTCCGTCAGGGATGTCCACTCTCTCCATTCTTGTTTAATTTTATCATAGACATGCTCTTAGTAATAATCTTATCCTCGTCTGAATTTTTAGGAGTAGACCTTCCACCAGGTGGCTCGCTTACTGACTTAGAATATGTTGATGACATTGTCCTACTTGGTGAAGATGCTGACAAAATGCAGAGTCTTCTGACCACCCTAGGCAACAATGCAAGCATGTTCGGGATGCGGTTCTCACCCTCGAAATGCAAAATGTTGCTTCAAGATTGGGTTGTATCGGCACCTGAACTAGTGATAGGGAGTGAAGTAGTAGAACGTGTAGACCGATTCACTTATCTTGGGAGTCTCATCAGTGCCGATGGCTTGGTGACTGACGAAATCTCTGCTCAGATACAGAAGGTTAGATTGGCTTTTGCCAACCTGCGTCACCTATGGCGTAGGCGAGAAATCCGTTTGCTGACTAAAGGACGAGTGTACTGTGCAGCAGTTCGCTCCGTCCTACTGTACGGACGCGAGACTTGGCCGTTAAGAGTAGAGGACTTTCGTAGGTTACTAGTCTTCGATCATCGATGTCTCCGAAGCATTGCTCGTGTATCATGGGACAACCATATAAGCAATGCTTACGTTAGGAAACGAGTTCTAGGTAGGGACGGCAAATCAATAGATGAAGTAGTGAAACTTCATCAGTTGAGGTGGCTGGAACGTGTTACGTATGCCTATCCACCGACTGCCTCGACGAGCTATGTTTTGCAGTGTAGGAGTAGATTGGAAGAAAGCTAGGGGAGGCCAAACCAAAATATGGCAGAAATCCATGAAGTCATTGACAAGTGGACTGAGTCATGTTGGTAGATGTAGACTACCTGGTTGGGGTCCGCGAGACGATAGTCATCGATGGTTAGAGACCTTGAACGACATGGCTCAAAATCGTTTGCAATGGCGCAGGTGCATCCACTCTTTATGTTCTATGAAATTCTAAGCTTCTGCATTCCTCATAATCTCTACCTTTCTCCTTGTAAATTTATCTTACTGAATTACACTTCTCGAATCATATGTTCGCTCCCTGATCTCCATTACTGCTAATACCTCTATTATTGCTATCACTCTTGGATTTGAAGTGACAGTTGCGTCTCTTTGCTGATGGGGCATGGCAACCTGAACTGATGTACTTACGTACGAAGTTCTGCGTTGTATCTGTCTGTCTGTCTGTCTGTCTGTCTATGTACCTGTATCACAGAACTGGTGTTCGCTTCAAACGCCATCGCATTATCTACTCAATTATTGGATCCAGATAGCTACTAGAAGATATAAAAATTCTTCCTGTTGCACAAGCCAGTGGCTATCTGGATTCAGTAGATAAATGAATTATGCGACGGTATTCGAATTGAACAGTAGTGGGTTCGATAATCGTAGTGAACAACTCTAAGATGCAGGTACATTCAGTCCCGAATAAAACAAAATACATTTCCTGAATTAAGCAGCTAGCCACTATTTATATCTATTTAAAAAGTATATTTTATTAGTCCTAAAGATCTTAAGAGGTGGCATCACATTGAAAGGCAATTGAAGCGGTATTAACGTTTCAATGTACGCGTGCTACAAATGTTTTAAATTTGTTAACGCTTGGAGTAAGAGGTACCATACGGAATAACTAGTCAGACTGAAATTTCTATTCGTTTATAGGTTATCAAAAGTAGATTGGAACCATGTTTACCGTTTAGGCAATAGCTATGACTGATTGATAAATGCCTCAAATTACGGCACAAACAACACCTTACGCCGCTAATGCTAACGACTTGAATTCGTGAAATGTTATTCTTGGTCTCTTGAAACCCGCTCGAAGCTACATGTTGGAGCTTTTATGTCCGGAACTTTTGCATAACAGGACAACAAGTTTCTTTGTCAAGGACTCTAAAATCCCGCACCGTCAATGCATGCTGCGTCTCCAAAACACACAGGATCTGAGTATAGTCATTCATTTGACCTCACTATGTTGCAATAAAGAGTTGTCTCGATTTACGCTTCGGTTATCTAAAAGCCCCTCTGCCTCTTCCCGTGGCCTGGGATAGGTGTGGCATTAAGTTCTAAGACAGAGCAAGCTCTCTTAGACTAGATTCCAGTTGACAGCCGCTTGTGAGCTGTCTGACTAAACGGGATAGTAAGAACTCCTTGTCTTTGCCTACGAACCCACTGAAAACGTCTTTTGACATCGTGATCCCCGAAATCGACTCAATGCTAGACCCCACTGATAAAAAAGCTCGATAGAAGACCGCCGCTTGTTCTGTTGGACATGTTCGGACTCAGATCATATTATAGTACGAACACATGTTCGTCTGCAACTTATTGAATGCAAGATAGACGCGGCAAGGAAACCTCTTAGAGTTGTACTTAACGATAACAAAGCCAAGAGTACATTTCGAAAGTAACTAGAGAAACAGCTGAACAGCCATTTAGATTATGCCCAACCCGAGGTAGCTTGGGGTGGTATCTAGAAAGCTATGGAAACAGTTGTGATATTTGCCAGTCTGTTAAACCAAAAGGTTGGGGATGAGCAATGGATTCGATTGATGAGGTAGTGAATCTTCATCAATTGAGATAGGTGCGACATGTTTTACTATGCCTAAACACCACATACCCCACCGAGCCATGTTTGCATTCGTGGAGACGCATCCATTTTTTATCCTTCCTAAGCTTTAAACTTCTGAATTCTCCAATATTTTAGTTCACTGATTTACATTTTTCCCTGATTGTATCTTCTATCCCCCGAATGATACTGTTGCTACCTCTACAATACTAGGATTCGGCCTGACAATCTCCGCTGATGAAGTATGTACGTACGCACCAAGTTTTACATCGCAACTAACTGACTAACTCAAAGGAAAGTTGAGGTCGACTGAAAGACCACTACTGCTAAGACCTGCACTGGCAACCTAGACTTCTACTCTTTCCAAACCGTAACTGAAACCTCATACATCGTGCCAGTAGATATGCTATCAAATAGGAGATAAGGGCTACCCAAATTAAGTAGCCGTATCAGCAGATGTATCTGAGTCACTGAACAATCATAAATTTGGTCATTCAATTTCACCAACCGCTGATCAGGCGGATCACGACCAGGTAGTCAGTATCATCTACCAACATTAGCTTAGATCAAGAGTCTATGACTTAACGGACGGACGGTACGTTTTGGTTGACTTTGCGTTGTTTCGAACCTACTCCAGAAACACGGAAATGGGTGGGGATTTTATACAGCACAGTTTGAAAACCATTCTTAAGTGAGGGCCCTTTACATCCAAGGAACACTGAACGAGTATTTGGCTTTATTATGAGTTTAAATTGAATGAAAATAAACTTCAATTCACTTTAAAATAATATTTAATAAATAAATATTGTACAGCTGACGTTGTTCATAGTAGTAAGTGGGGCTCTACGATTACAATTTGAAATTATCCGGTTTCTAATACTGAGCAACTAAATTCAAAGACTTAGTAAACAATCAAGAGTAATAGAGACACCATGACGTAGAAAACTTACAGATGTTTAAAAAAAAATTCAATGGCTTGGGTATAACTACAATAGACCTACGAAAACGTGAACACCAGTTGGATGTTTCAAGTAAAAACGGGGAACTCAGCTTTGCTAGTAACAGAGAGATTTCTATCTTAGTTCATGATTGAAATATTTGATGATCAAAATGTGGATAAAACGTACCGTGAGTTCGTTTTAAAGGTTTCTTTTTCGGATCGTTGATTTGTTGTTTTGAAGCATCCTTTGCTGCTGATTTCTTCTGAGATTGAATTAGAGTATTCAAATCATCTTCACTTAACTCTTCATCCTCATCTTCTTCAGATTCCTCAAGATCATTGTTTGATGACCCAGAATCACTTTGTTCATTATTACTATCATCATCGGAATTGCTGAATGATTTCGTAACATTTTCTTTATTTTGCCACTGTTCATTACTGCTATCTGATTGATCATCTGTATTCTGCCAGTCAGCTTCAATAGGTTCAGAATCACTCTCACTGGATGCTTCACCGAAAGTGACTTGTTTTTTGGTCTTCGCGTTTACAGTGGAAGTTGGTAACGCGGAAGCTTTCAGTTGTTGCTCCTTTAGAAATCTTCGCTTTTTACTTTTTTTACTTTCATTGACTCTTAGAGAAGGAATACTAGATATAACAGGATTTGTTCCTTGTAAGTTCTTCTTAAGCTTTTTGGCTTTATTGCGTTTTGCTTTTTTACTTTGTGAAGTGGGGACCAAAGGAATGTTTTGGTTTTGTTTTTTCTTATTTTTGCCCTGAAAGTGAAAATTTGACATTTTACAAACAGTAATAAAGATAAGTAATTCTCTATAATAAAGAAAACTAGTGATAATATTAATAATGCATAAACTTGATAATTTTTATTAGTTTCAGCTGTAACTCCCTGCAAGTTGAGAGGACAATTAACCAATGTTAACAGCACAAGATACACAGACGTAAAGATGGAATTGAATTTTCTCGTGACTGGACGGTTTCAGTGATAGTGCTTGTTGGGTCGCGTAAATCCATACTTAAACTTCAGGTCAGTTAGTGCAATCTCGTTTTAGAGTCGAATATGTTGGACTGCGAATACAAAAGTGGGTATTAAGTATATGAAATAGCACCAAGGTTATACGAGTATGATATGTATTTTGTATTACTTTGTTTAGTATTTTCCTAGGACATACAGGAGCAAATGTTTGAACCTACTTTATGTAAAAATTCTCCAAAATTTTAACAAATACATGGAAAGATAGTGTAAAAGTGATGAACGAACCAGTGGCAATGAGCTTCTAGAAGCGAACCCTAAGGGACAGTTACTTAATCTGCAAAATATTTGTCCTCACGAACACAATGCTCATTGTACGGAAAGTAATGAAACTAGTAAAAACACAACCAGGATTTTTAGCAGCATAGTTATGTTGTTTTTCCGAAGTGGAAAAGACAGACAGACAGACAGATACAACGCAGAACTTCGTACGTAAGTACATCAGTTCAGGTTGCCATGCCCCATCAGCAAAGAGACGCAACTGTCACTTCAAATCCAAGAGTGATAGCAATAATAGAGGTATTAGCAGTAATGGAGAAGATCAGGGAGCGAACATATGATTCGAGAAGTGTAATTCAGTAAGATAAATTTACAAGGAGAAAGGTAGAGATTAAGAGGAATGCAGAAGCTTAGAATTTCATAGAACGTAAAGAGTGGATGCACCTGCGCCATTGCAAACGATTTTGAGCCATGTCGTTCAAGGTCTCTAACCATCGATGACTATCGTCTCGCGGACCCCAACCAGGTAGTCTACATCTACCAACATGACTCAGTCCACTTGTCAATGACTTCATGGATTTCTGCCATGTTTTGGTTTGGCCGCCCCTAGCTTTCTTCCAATCTACTCCTACACTGCAAAACAAAGCTCGTCTAGGCAGTCGGTGGTTAGGCATACGTAACACGTTCCAGCCACCTCAACTGATGAAGTTTCACTACTTTATCTATTGATTTGCCGTCCCTACCTAGAACTCGTTTCCTAACGTAAGCATTGCTTATATGGTTGTCCCATGATACACGAGCAATGCTTCGGAGACATCGATGATCGAAGACTAGTAACCTACGGAAGTGGAAAATGCGAATGCAGACGCGACAACATACGTTGAATATAGCTGAAAGTCACAGACAGTTAGATTAGACGGACAATGAAAGCGCAACGTCAGATTAGCCGAAAGCAAGGACAGTTCACTATTCCTCTCCAAATGCTTTGATATGACCGAGCGTATACAGCTACTATCTGGCAATTCCTACCCATTGCGTTTTCGTGCAGAATAGGTGATAACTACTGAATAGAGAAGACGAAAAGCGGATATCTGGACGGAGCCCAGAGTGGGTTGACAGGTACGAAGTATCTACCTAGGATAGTTAGGAAACCCACATTCAAAATCGATAGGGAACGTAAACTCCACCAAACTGACGAGTTAAATGGAATGTGAACATATCATCAGCTACCATGAGACTGCATTTTATGCCGTTGACCCACTGTCGTATGGATTATAGATCCAAGTTAACAGCTCAGAAGAAAGTTCCCTTAGAAAGCTACCTGCCTCGGCTTGAGCAGCAGGACAACACCTCAGTCCATGTAGACATTTAGGTGCCCCACTGTACCGTAGTTATTCTTTAATTAAATACCATTTTTGATACCTAAAAAATTTCGGGCAAGCTGATGCTCTGCTACTACCAGTAGACTGTTCACAATTATAAGGGATTTGAAAGGACCGTATATGAGATTCAGAAAATTACAATTTACCAACAACATATACAGACTAATTTAGGATCTAAGTAGTTTGTATAACGTACGATATTTGGATAGAAACCGACAAAATGTCGAGTCTACACTAAGATATTAAGTACTTCACCCACTATTAACAAAACTCAAATTGTTCAAACCTTTGACAGATGATGAGGTTGGATATAGCAGGTTTAGGTAATCACTAATAAGTACAGCGGAAAAATTTTGTGACGAAAAATGAGAGCATTGGGATATTATGATGAGCATTAACTAGACTGCCTCTCACCATTTTCACGTGAAACAACAAACAGCGCGCCTCACGTTAATCAAAAATGGCCGTGTCATTTATCGTCGCTGAATAAATATAGTTATTTTGAATGTTCACTAATATTTACAGGCTTCTTTTTATATTTAATTAGGTTGATCTTACAGTCGTAGTAATATAATAGTTTCTTATGGTTAGTTTTTCAAATATCATCTTCCTAGAAATCATCTTAGTTTTGTTTTTTCTGTGCTTAAGAAACGGCATACCCACATGCTTCTTTCTGGTGTATGACTTGATGCATTATGGCAACTGTAACAAGTAGTATCACAACGTACGCACAAGAAGTATATCAACTGCATATAAGGAGTGTTACAAACCATCATATCACTGGTTGTGCAAAGCATGCTACTTTCTAAAATCTCTCCTGGTTTTTGAGGCAACCAAGCTACTAAAAGCAGCTAGAAAGTTATTCTCAGATAAAAAGCCAGCAGCAAACGAGCATATGAGGAGATTCGAGGAAACAAGGGCTTACTTAATTACGCCCGTTACCCACATTCCAGCATAGGCCAAGGAAAAAAGGAGCACCATTACAAATCCAGCTACGGAGCCTAAAAATGACGTAAGACGAACTGTGAAGAAGCCACCATGAGAAATCTGGAAGCAGTGAACGTCTGTTTCGTCTGAGTATGTGACTCGTCAGCATTTTGCATCTACTACCCTGCAGTTCGTGTTTTAAAGGATTCGGCTAAGAAAAATTAAAGTCACTGGTAATATCGAGAAAATCGGGCCATATGGGTGGAGCTTGAACTAAGGAATTCAGGAGACAGGAACTCAAGGCTTATCGAAACAGATCTCGCACTGAGGTCATTTATCTTCCACAAAAGGCTAGATCTGAACACAATCGAGAATGGTAATAAGCCCCTGATAACCAAGTAAAAGAGAGAAATATTTATTCATTTGTATGATAGTGAATTCCAATAGCCTGGTTTCTTTGTCAGGTTAATGGACTAAACTGTACGGACAGTTGGGCTATCCTGTACATGAAATACAAATTAACAGTAGCACATGGTTCAAAGACAGGTGAACTCAAAGCGTAAAATATTTAGCTATCTGCAGTTTATCGCCGTCCGTAAAATGTAATGGTTGGCTTCCTCGCAAACAAACTTCAATCCTAATCAGACAGATAATAAGCGTTATAATCGACTATTTTAGTCAGCCCTCTGTAATCTGGGAAAACCTATAAGGAGTGGAATTTCGATATATTATATCAAAGGGTTTGACAACATAGCTCCTCCTCGTTCCTGGCAGTATCCTGAGTTTTTGGTGCCAACTTCCTCTTACAGTACTCTTGTTCGTGCTCTCGGTTTCGTATGAGGAATCACGATTCCTGCTTGTAATTCTGAATTAGTGGAAATAGCTGACAGGAATATGAATGACTTTTGTTATATTATTGTTGTTTAAACGGCTGCTACCAAGTCAAAAAATTTTAATAGAGAATAAAACTTTTAATTACTGAATAAAGGCTTGATGTCACTGAGTGTTCATTGCTTTTGGTTTTAACAGTTAGGGGTAACTAAATATAAAGTATTTTATTCTCAATGTGGACGCGATACATCATTTGAATGCAAATTGTCAAAGATCATAATGGCCCAAGATTTATTTTAGCGCATGAGGGATTCCGCTAGATGTGACCTAGGAAACTCGTCATCTGTCTAGGATTTAGTCTTCACGCATAGTGATGATGCCAGTCAAAGGAAGTTCCTCCTACCTGTAGGAAGAGGGATTAAAGTTTAATACACTGACGATTTCGAACGCCCTGCCAGCCAATCAGGAAACACTGTCTAGTTATGAAACAAATAATAGTCTGGAGGTTGTGTTCGCGGGCGAGCCTGGAAGTCCTCGGTTCGATTGTTACAGGTGGAGGTTATGAAAGGGAATTTCTGATACGCCCTGTACTAGGGCGAAAAAGTCATCCTGTACTTCCAGGCTTCAAATCGTGGCCTAACGTCGATCAATTCGCTATTTCAATGAAACGGTTAGAAGCCAGAAAATCAGCAGAAATATTAGCTTTTCACCTGAATAACCAATACTTGATCTCAGAAGTTAAAGGTAGAATTCCCTTTTAAGAAGTCGGGCTAGTGTTTCGAGTAACGGTTATCACTCCAGAGTTTTCGTCACCGATTGACATCAGCTACGTTGCCCAAAGTTTAGACCTAGGTTTCCAAAATTAAGATGGAGCATTGAGTTTATTGTTTTACTCTAGATTTGCGTTTTTATCACAAACTGACATTAAATACAATGCAATGCCTTCTCATTCTGCTGTTCACAAACTTAAGAGACTAATAGTTTGGACTGACATTAAGAGTTGGAATTTATGGGTGTTGCTCAGATTCACCAAGCACTACAAACGATGCATAGAACCATCGGCGATTTATTGAGAATGGACACGTCCCATCACAGGCTTTAGATAGGGTTAAATCAACAAAGCTGGATGAACTACAGGCAAACATCTTGAAGCAAATAGCACAGCACAGTACTTTTGTGACGTATTAGTCGGCAACGACGTTTTATCTTCAGGCCGGAATGATGCAGTCATCATCTCGATTCATACAAAGGTGCAGAGGCTTATTTCACCAAGCTACAAACGTATTAGACCCACCAATGTTGTTATCAAAATGCTTAAAAAGAATGCAAGAGTATTAGTTACTTTCGGGGTAAAAATGAATTGCTAAGCAATAAACCTTATGTAAAATAAACCCACCGACCACCGCTAATAAACTTAATTCACTCAGCAAAAGACCGATCAAACAATTAACAAAGGCAGCCACAAAAACGGCTAATACACCAACGAAAGTACCGGTTGTTGTAACTACTCAGCATTTGTTTCAAGTACGAAGTAGGGTGTAAGCCTAACGAAGGGACGCGACAACAAATCTCAGACGGGGACATTAGGCAAAATTCAATAATCTTGTTCGATGTTACACTGTCAAGGATTTGCTTGGTAGAAAGCAGGGGAGTCCTTGATAGAGAGCGATCGATCTACCAATGCGCAATGCTTGGAATGAGCAGAATCCCAGCGAAACGCTTATGTATGTTTATAAGCCAGAACATGGCTACAGTGAAGTCCCCCCTGCAACGTAATAGACTCGATGAAAGTTACCGAGAAAATCCCCCTAACATGGGTCACTGAGCCTACAGTGAATGTTAAAAATTACTGACCCATAAACATAGCTTCAGTACTACCTAGGGTGATAAAGAAAGCATTTAAGGCAGAGTTAATACATCTATTTAGTAACAATCTGATATCGACCTCACAGCATGGGTTCTTGAGGTCTAGGTCGTGTGACACTTGCCTGCTAGATTATTTCAATGATGTTACGTATAGAATTCTTTTTGAATGTTTTGTGTTTTGGAAAATCCCTCCATGTTTACATATTTTTGTTATGATATGACGGACTTTTTCTTTTGACATTTTTGGTACTTTATTTGATTCCAATTTGAGATTTTATCATTGTATATTGTTATTCTTTCTATATTTTGTACTTATATTGAAGTTTTTTGCGTTTGCTTCTGAACTGTACATATGTTGTTTAAATTTGATATAATATGGCTACCGCCACATTTTTGGACGGGCGCAGTGGCTGCTGGACTTAGCGTCACTTATTGGTTATTGTGTCGGATACTCTGCGGAGTAACTTAACCCTGGAAGAAGCACAATTTCCGTAAGGCTTTGTATTTCCATTTTCTAACTAATACAGAGACGTTTTCTCCTAGAATTTTGTCCTTTTTGAATTGGTTGGGACCCGGGACTAGGAAAAGCGTACAGGAGTGCCTCTATTGGAACCAATTGGGACGGCCACTGTCGAAATACATTTACATTACGCATAAACAAGTCAAAGGGCTTCTAGTATCTGCCCTTTTCTTCGACACCGTATAAAAGCCTCCTAGGGTTTTACTTAATGATAATAAAGCTAGGAATATATTTCAGGAGCAACTAGAAAGACAGTTAGGCGACCATTTAAGCGATTCCCATCCGGAGGCAGGTTGGAATGATATCAAAAGGGCTGTGGAAACAGCAGTGATATCTGATAGCAAGGTACACCATAAGGTTAGGGAGAAGCCTTGGATCTCAGTGGCATCCACCGAACTGATGAACGCTCGAAAACTCATCCCACCTGGCTCTGAACATGATGAAGAACCAAGTCAGCTTAAGAGCAGGCTGACAAAAAGCCTACGCAACGATCGTGAACAGTGGTGGGTGGAGAAAGCAAAAGAGATGGAAAAGGCAGTGGCGATAGGCAACTGTAGGCATCTATTCAGACTAATAAAGGAAACCGGTATTAGAAACCCGAAGGTGAGTGAAAACATCTCGGAAAAGGACGGTCTTATTATCCATTCTCAATCCAGGAGACTGGACCGGTGGGAGGATTACTTTAGGCACTAGTGTAGAATCTTTTTTGAATGTTTTGTTTTTTGGAAAATCCCTCCACCTTTATATATTTTTGTTATGACATGACGGACTTTTTCTGTTAACATTTTGGTATTTTATTTGATTCCAATTTGAGATTTTATCATTGTATATTGTTATTATTTCTATATTTTGCACTTATATTGAAGTTTTTATGTTTGCTTCCGAACTGTACATATGTTGTTTAAATTTGATATAATATGGCTACAGCCATATTTGGATTTGATACTGTTGCGGTTGGATCTAGCATCACTGATTCTTTTTGAACTCGAATACTCATCAGAGTAATTGGGACTTGGAAAGTGTATCAAAAGTCAGGTATTGGTTTGTATTTCCATTTTAACATAATATAGACCACTTTCTCCTAGAATTATTGTGTTCTGATATTGGAGTAGGAGAGGGGTGCGTTCGACTTACACTTACTGGAAACAAATTGAACTGTTACGGTAGAAAATCCATCTACAACTAGTTCAACTGGCCTTCAGCCACACTTCGGTTGCCCACAATCTACAGTCAACCTGAATGGGAAACCGATGTCAGTCCTCCGAATCTTTATAAAGTCGAAAAGCTGTAGGAAATCGGAAGCGAGGAAGAGCAGC